ACTGATAGATAGCACAGGCACTAAGACCAACAATCAATATATGGGACCTCATGAAGCCGGAAAGCCTCTGTGAGGCAAAGGACACCATCAATTGAGCAAAGTCACAGAATGAGAACAGTCTTTACCAGCTGCATGCCTTGCAGCGAATCCATCAGAATCTAGAATATATAAAGAACTCAAGAAACTAAACATCATGGAAACAACCCAATTTTAATTTAGCGAGGAAAGGAAATAAACAAAGATTAAACACAAATGGCTGAGAAACATTTTAAACTGTTCAGCATCCTTGCCCATCAGTGACATGCCAATTAAAACTACTTTGAGATTATTTTAGCCCAGTCATAATGACCATAATTTAAAAAAAAAAAAAAATTGCCGGGCGCTGGTGACACAAATCTTTAACCTCAGCACTCGGGAGGCAGCCAGCCTGGTCTACAGAGTGAGTTCTAGGATAGTCAGGGCTACACAGAGAAACTATCTCAAAAAGCCCAAACTGAACAAACAAATAAATTGATGACGAATTGTGGTGTTAGTGTGGGGGGACGGTGAATATGTCCTTGGTCCAATGGGAGTAGAGACTGGGGCGGCCGCTATGGAAACCAGCGTGGAGGCTCCTAAAGCAAAGAAGACAGACAAATGGAGAGTGGGTCCAGCCCACAGTCACACACCCCAAAGACTCCACTACCGTGCTCTGGAGACACTTGTTATCCCAGGGCATTGCTGCTCTATCACAGTGGCCAGAGGGCAGACACTGCGGAGATGCCCATCAATCAAAGAAGGGATGATGAAAACCCACGTTTACATGACGGACTATTATTCGGCCGGGAGGGAAAACAGAACTGTGGAATTCACGGGTAAATGGATGGATCCGAAAACAGTCATTCTGCGTGAAGTAACCCCGACTCAGAAAGGCAAACACCACACATTTTCTCTCTTTTGCGGATGCAAACTTCACATTTGTATGTTTCATTTGGAGACCCACCGAGGTCAGAAAGTAGTAAGGGTCATCAAGAAAGACACGAGGATCGCCCAATGATGGAGAAATGGCTGAGATCTACATGAACAACCTGGACATGAGTGGGAGCAATGAAGGGCGAGGGTCAAGGGAAAGAGAGCCTGTGGGAGTGGGAGATCCCAGCTGAATCAAGACCAGAGAGGGAGAACAAGGAATAGGAGACCATGGTAAATGAAAACCACACGAGAAAAGGAAGAAACAAAGTGCTAGAGAGGCCTACAGAAATCCACAAATATACCCTCACAATAGACGGCTGGCAATGGTCGAGAGACAGCCAGGACTGACCTACTCTGGTGATGGGATGTCCAAACACCCTAATAGTCATGCCAGAAACCCCATCCACGGTCTGAGGAATCTGGATGCAGACATCCACGGCTAGGCCCCGGGTAGAGCTCCGGGAGTCCAATTAGCAAGAAAGAGGAGGGTTTATATGAGCGAGAATTGTTGAGACCAAGGTTGGATAAAGCACAGGGACAAATATACAAACGAAAGGAAACACATGAACTATGAACCAAAGGCTGAGGGGTCCCCAACTGGATCAGGCCCTCCGAATAAATAAGACAGTTGATTAGCTTGATCTGCTTGGGAGGCATCCAGGCAGTGGGACTGAATCCTGTCCTCAGTGCATGAACTGGCTGTTTGGAACCTGGGGTTATACAGGGACACTTGACTCAGCCTGGGAGGAGGGGACTGGACCTGCCTGGACTGAATCTACCAGGTTGAACTCAATCCTCGGGGGAGGATTTGCCCTGAAGGAGATGGGAATGGGGGGTGGGGTGGGAGGGGGGAGAACAAGGGAATCCGTGGCTGATATGTAAAATTAAATTTAATAAATAAAATTAAAAAATGAAAAAAAAAGTAGTAAGGGTCGGAGTAGGGGCTTTCAAGGGAGGGGCGATAGAAAGTGGCGACAGAACACTTCCTTTAGAAGTGGAAGCCCCGGCCCAGCAGAGATGGAGAGGCTGTTAACTACTCAGGGTCACCACCGGGTCTGCTTTCTGCCATAGTACCGACCCAGACCCGGCCTGGAGCTGCCCGAGTTTGGCTCCCCCTCCTGGTGACAAAGACACACGACCGCTCCCGTGGCTAGGAGAGTCTAGGGATGAGGCAGGGAGGAGAGAGTGTGAGAGAAGGTGGGAAGAACCCTGGGAAGAAATGTGGAAATGGGGAGACTGGAGAAATGGCCCAGGGCCCAAGAGTGCCTGCTGCTCTGGCAGAGACCCCAAGTTCGGTTCCCAGCACTCATATCTGGTGGCTCATGACTGCTTGTAACTCCAGCTCTAGGGGATCTGACACTCTTTCCTGGCTTTTGTGGGCACCCGCATACACGTGACTCTGTCTCTGTCTCTGTCTCTGTCTCTGTCTCTGTCTCTGTCTCTCTCTCTCTCTCTCTCTCTCTCACACACACACACACACACACACAAAGAAAATGAAAATAAAATCTTTTGGGAGAGAGAGAATGGCTAGCGAGGTCTTTGAGCATCCCTTCTTTCAACTCTCCCCCTCCCTCCCTCCCTGCGGTCTCCAGGTAACCTCCTCTAGGCTTCCATCCCATAGCTTTTCCTGCCCCCTGTCCTGAGGACATCGCCTCTCCTCCTCCCTCCTCTTTCCCAGAAAAGCCATTTACACAGTCATGCCACTTTCTCCTTCCTAAGTGTCTTCCTCTTCCTCCCCCAGATCTGAGGTCAGACAGAGGAAACCTCAGGACAAGGGCTTGGCTGTCTTCCCATCCCTTTCGTCCAAACCTCCCCGGATTCTACCCTTTTCAGCTGGAACAAGGAGGAACCAGGCCCGGTTCCAGAAGGGGCGCTTTAGGTATGGGGGCCTATACGAAGGCAGAGAGACAAAAGTGGTCCCTGGTGAGGGGCATACAGGGAAGAAAGAGGCCTCTTAACAGAGAGGAAGAGAAGGGGTTCCAGGAGAATCCAGACTCTCCTACCGTTTCTCGGGGAGCAAGTGGTGATGGCAGGGTTTAACTCTCTCCTGTTGGAAGTGGCTGCTGTCTGGGGCCCAGAGGGAGAGAAATGGAGAGACAGAATAAAGCAGAAGGAGAAGCTGGAGCAGACACAATGGCCTCCCTCAGTAGCTCATCCTACAGCTGTTTATTGAGATCCAGGCACTATCTTTTTCTTTTTTTTTAAACTATTTATTGGCCAGTGAGAAACCTCCGTGGGAAAGGATGGTTGCCATCGAGGCTGGGGATCTGAGTTCGACACCCAGGATTCATATGATAAGACTGACGCCTACAAGTTGTTCTCTGACCTCCACGCATATGCTGTGGGATGTGCCTACCATAAATAAACACATGAAATTTTGGTGTATTTACGTGTATGCATGTTTGTGTCTGTGTGCACACTCAAAGGCACAGAGGGCGTTGGGTGTCTCTTTTCTCCATTCTACGCCTATTCCTTCGAGGCAGCATCTCTCCCTGATGCTCATATGGGGCTCCTATTTCTTTGGTTAGACTGGAAGCCGGCCGGCCCTGATGATCTACCTATTTCTGTCTGCACCCACCCTTGCCCCCAAATGGCACTGGGGTTACAGGGAGCTGGAGGATATCTGGCTTGTTCTATGGCTGCTGGGATCCAAATTTTGGTCCTTGTGTGGGGTGTTGGTGGCATAGGCCTTTAATCCCAGCATCTGGGAAGCAGAGGCAGGAGGATCTCTGTGAGTTTGAGGCCAGCCTGGGCTACAGAGTGAGCTCCAGGACAGCCAGGGCTACACAGAGAAACCCTGTGTCAAAAGACCTCATGATTGTGCAGCAAGCATTCTTAACCTCTGAGCCATCTCCCCAGCCCTTATTTGTTTTGTGGTTGTCTGGGGTCTCACTAAAGTCTAGGAACTCAAGATCCTCAGGCTTCAGCCCCCCAACGTACTGGGGTTCCAAATGTGAGCCTTCAAGCTAATCTCCAGGAGCCATTTTAGAATCATTTTCAGTCACAGCAGATGTCCTGGACCCTGCGAGATGCTGGACTAGAGAGATGTTATGCCAGGTGGAGGAGGCAAGGTTTGTGGAGAAGGGAAACCACTGAGCCAGACGTAAACACACACACACACACACACACACACACACACACACACATACACAGAGACACACAGAGACACACACAGAAACACACAGAGACACACAGAGACACACACAGAGAGACACATACACAGACACACACACAGACATACACAGACACACACACACATACACAGAGACACACAGAGAGACACATACACAGAAACACACACAGAAACACACAGAGACACACACAGAAACACACAGAGACAGACAGACACACACACAGAGACACACACACACATACACACACACACACAGAGACACACACAGAAACACACAGACACACACAGAGAGACACATACACAGAGACACACACAGAGAGACACATACACAGAGACACACACAGATACACACACATACACACACACAGAGACACACAGAGACACACACACACATACACACACAGAGACACACACAGAGAGACACACACACACATACACACACACAGAGACACACACACAGAGACA